GGAAACGGGTGTAGCGAATAAACGGCGCGCGATGGCGTTTCGGACCGCGCGTTGAACTCTTTATACCGCGCGCGCGGTTATTGCGCCTCCGCTGGAGCTCGCTAAGCGGTTGCGCGCGCGCTAAAAACCAAAAATATCCGACGCGGCGTTTATATAGCGCGGCTGTTGGAGATGCTCTAACCCCGTCATTGACATAGTCAGCTAGCGATCCAGCCGTTGTCCGCATATCGTGCGGCTCGGATTTGTGTGGGCGACTTGATATACCCCCTCAGCTTTGCTCTGTTCTTCTTGGTCCTTCAGCGACGCCCCTTTCTTTGCTCTGTTTGTTCGTTCTGCATTTGTATAATGACTGCTTACAAAAGGCCGGGTTTCATAGTTTTGACTACATAGGGGAACGCCGGAACGACACAAAGCGTCCATCCAGTGCAGAACAAATGAAACAAGCCTGAGAGCTACTACTCGGCATCTGCGCATGCAATGCAGGCAGCTCGACATCCTCTTCAGCGGTAGATGGAGCCTCGCTGCCGCCATCAAGTTTCTTGTCCGTGCAACGCATCAGGATTCAGGACTAGCTTCGTCGTCAGAGACGTCGGCGGCCCGCACTTAAGTTGCCGTCGGCTGACACTGTACGTGTAGTACTATCACACAAACAATTTATATTGCCTGGATGGATCATCAGCACGGGACCATGGACGCCATGCTAGCTAATCTGACACTCCACATATGTGTTGCGTCCGTGCGCATATCTGGGGTTGTTCTCATCTGTCTTCTACTTCTACAAGCTTGCACGCGATACTTCTTGACTTGCTTGGCCATCTGGACGCCGGCGGCACGTCTTGAGTCTTGACTCAAGTCCAAAGCAAAGCGCAAAACCCTACCATGGACTATATAGTAGTACATATGTATTGTTTCTTTTTCCTTGTATATATATCGTAGTGCGAGGACCATAGTACATCCTGGTTGCACTTACTTGCACGACAGACTAAGGATGGCTGTTGTCGACCGTTTGTCAGGTTCACGGGAAATGGAGGAACAACAGTTACACCTCAAACGGATAGTAGGACCTGAATACCAAGCAAACGTTAGTTTTTTAGGCATGACAAATCAAATGTTTTTCATGACCAATTATGTTTTGTTGAGGATGGCAAGTTTAGTGGACGAGCATGGCAAATTCTCAGTTCATTCTCTTTTTGCCAGAAAATTGCCGTGCTCGCTAACTGAATTTGCTATCCTTGCGACAATATAAATGGGCATGAAAAATGTCCAATTTTTCATGCCTCAAAAATCTGACATCAGATTATTAGCATTTCCGTGCATATATTATTAGCAAAGCCTTTTCTTTCTGCGGGAAAAATTGGCAGCAAAGTTGTCGACCCTCGTTTTTCATTTTTGTTAAGTGCGTGTTGTCGACCACGGGAGGTGCATTCCGTACCAACCATTTTCGTCATTTTGCATGCTTAGCTTAGCTTAGCTTAGCTTAGCTGATGAGGTTATTGTATTCCAACAAAAAGTGCAGGCATGCATGCATGTAGGTGTCAAAAAAAGGCTTTATGTCAAACATCGAATTTAGCTGGGCTGTTCGAGGATCAACAGAGGCTCTGACAGCAACGATAGACACAGTAATAGTGAAGATTCCTGGACTATATCCAGTTTGTATTGGTTTTTATCTGATTTTTCGTCAATTAATTGAGCAATTCTTTTTTATTTAATAATTAATCGATGAAGTAAATCTTTTGCCTTCGTTTCAAAAAGATTCCAGGACTATATATGACCCAAGCCCCATATCCCCCATATACATATCCTTGCTTGCAAGTCAGAATATGCAGGCTGGCTAAGCCCTTGCTTGAAGTTAAATCTTCCCCTTGACCTCCACACACACAGAAAGTAGCAGTACTATGTTTGCCTAATCCCATGCTTGAAGAAATGCTTGTTTCCCTTGACCAAATGAAATGCTCCTACATTTTTCTCCTAGCAAAAAGAAAAAGAAAAACAAGAAAAAAGATACTAGCTAGCTAGATCTTCTCCCTTAATTAAGGGTGTCTGTACTCATGGATAGTTGTTTGTAGACCATCTCAGTGTAGTTGACCATGCAATAAACCACCGGTTGGTGAGCCATTTTTGTCCATCTCAGCACCCACCTCAATAATACAGTGCGTACTAGCTAGGTGCTGCTTTGCTAGATCCTTTGCCCCACACGGCCACCAGATACTGCTAATACCTAGCCTTCCATGATTGCTTCAGGCAGCAAGACCCCGTCTTCAGTAAGCAAGCATCATGTGGCGTGTTCAATTGTCAACCTCTCGTTTGGATTTGGGAGCACTGATAAAACATTATTGTAAATAGTTGATGGCATAGTTCATCTTGAATTTTCCTAAGCAAATGCGCTTACATTTTTATAACAGAAACATTTTTCTTGGGGAAGAACTGACTCCTAGTACATGTTATGCAAATGTACTTAGAATTTTAATAACTAGAGAGAGAGCTCTTATGAACCCCATCCATGATGGTACAACTTATGTCAAAGTCACTACTGCTAGCATGGAAAGCTTCACACTGAAGTTGAAGCATGACTGAGAGATCACAGCAACTTCCTATTACACCTGTTGAGAAAACACATGGTCCTCCTAATGTGTCAGTTTGTCAACACCACCACCACCTTTCAATCCTGGAACAATTCTTCTGCCAAAAGAGAAAACAAATCCCATCTTTCGATAAAGCAAAAGCAACACACACAGACAGAGGCGAGTCATCGCAAGTAAACTTGTGCACGCTAAAAGCCAACCCTGCCAATCCTTTTCCAAGCTTTACACAGAGCTCCTTGCTCGCCTCCTTTCTTCAAATCTCCCTTTCAACTCTTTCAAACACACTCCCTCCCTCCATGTTGAGGGAGACCCCACCTGTCACTATCTACCAGCATATGCATGTTCTTCCTTCCATGTCATCTCTCAGTTTGATTTGATGTGTCATAAGTCACAACTCAGAGCAGAGGAGAAGAACAGCTTGGGGCATGCCCCCACTCAGGACGCCGAAACCCTAACAGCATGTAGCTGGGGGAAGGAAGGGCCACTAGGCAGCTCATTAGATTCCCAGATGGATGATGGCCTCAATGTTGTTTGTTGCTCCTACTTTTGAGATCCGCGAGACCTAGCTTCACTTTCACACGAACAGTTCGACCGTATCTTCAAACAAAGGCCCGGGCCTGGCGTTCATGGATCGAAAGGGGCGGCGAGGCGATTGGACGGTTGTCTTCTAGGTCTGGGCAGACTGTGTTGGCAGCCGGTTATGGCTGTGCTCGCCTTCGTACGTCACGATGAGCATCGCCGGCTCGTCCACGCACCGCTCAACATGCTTCCTCGCCGGGCAGCCCCTGACGGTGCTGCATTTATAGTAGCCCCTGCATTTGGTACAAGTGGCCGGACACAGTTAGTCTTCTGTGGAGACAAGAAATATTTGGAAAGAGGAACAGTCAGCAGTCCACATTGAGCAGCATGTGCTTGCTTTCATGGTATAGCTACATTTTCCAACCATTAAGGGCAGGCATTAAAGATTAAGATGTGAGGTGGGCAAACAGGAGCAATCAACATTAGAATGTGGATAGATAAGCATGTCAATGAAATGCTAGTTCCATTAACAAGTTAACTACTTTAGGTCCCTGTGACTGATCCCTTTTTCACAGACAGTAGTGAGAGACCAACATGATCCACTATATAATTAATTGTTCTAGCAACTAAGGTGTCAACACGTCTTAGCTGTAGAAGAAACTTGGTGCTAGGAAAAGGGTGATTTGAGTGGGGGATCCACAAATAATTATTCCACAGGTAAAGCAACACAATGAATGCCTGATGGATGCAGATATGCCATCTTTCATGGTACAGCATGGGGAATAATAACATCATGACTGAAAATGATTCGATATATATATTCAAGTGTTATTTTGACCAATGTCCTTTTTTAAGTGATAATCCACATATTTTAAGCAGATAATTGGTTTTTTTTTTCCTTTCATACCTCGGATGAGGGGAACCCTTAATCGGCTTCTGCCCGTACTTCCGCCATGAGTATTCATCCGGAGGTATATCAGATATTTTGTTGCTAATGGCGGGCACTTTAATCGACCTCTTAATCCGTAATTTCCTGCAGAAAAGTAAATCATCAATCAGGTCAAGACCATAATTCCCAACCCTTATAAAAGAATCACAGCAACATAGTTATACCTTCTTTTTGAGCAATGACATTTGCCACCTGTGGTGCACTTGCCGCTGCCATCCTCACCCCTGCCCGCACACCGCCGCTTAGGCGCGCATTGGCGCACATTCAGTGGGTCGCTCGCAGCCGGGCCGCCGAGCAAACGCATCGGCGGCTTTCCATCCAAGCTAGCTACACTGCCATCCATGCTCAGGGAGGACATGAAAGACCTCGGCGATGAGATTGTCCCAGCGCCGCCACTGGGGGTATCAAACTTCAGGCTGATCCCACTGTTGCTCCTCTTGAACATTTGGGCCTGTAAATTCTGCTGCTGCTGCTGGAATGGGTATCTATGTGCAGTGGCACCAAACTGGAACTGCACAGACAATGGCTGGACCATCTTCGGAGGGCCAAACTGGTGGGCGCTCTTGCTGCTTGAGCTGACCAAATCAAGGCTGCGTGGCGGCGGCGGCGCGCCGACCTGGGGCCGCAGTTGCCCTGCCGAACCAGCAGATGGGGATGGAGTGGCTGCACTCCCGGACATGAGCACCCCCAATGGGGTGTTGCTGCTGCTCTCCAAGAAGCCTTTCTGGCTCAGGAACCCCACGGGCTTCCTTCTCCTGGAGAACCTGCCTCTAGCATGCCCTCCCCTGCCGCCACCGCCATTGCTGAGGAGGGAGACCACCTTCCTGAACTTGGCACAGGCCTCACCCGTCTCTGAAGCTATGCTCCTGAGCAGGGCTGGGTCCTGCTGCTGGGAGAGCAAGGCCAGCAACTTGTGGCAGCTCTCCACCGCCGCGCTGTTGGCCACCTCCACCTCCTCCATAGCCCAAGAAAAATCAATTGAGAAGTAAATATAATCCTATCTTCTCGTTCTTGCAGAACTCTTCCTTCTACAGTCTTGGCAAGCAGCTCAGATTCTTGCAGCCCTCACTGACCTGAGAGAAGGAAGGTACAAATCAGTACAGAGATAGATCTCCGTGAAATGCTCGGACTGTTTGGAATTTTCGTCGCAAAACACCAAATTTTGGGGACTCGGGAAGCCATCCGGGAGCCGGATCGACCGCATGAGCAACGGGCCTCGGCTGGCGGGGCCAAGAACGGATTCATGGCGCGGGTGTGCACCGAGAACTCGGGGAGGAACCCACGTGGCGCCGCCGGACAGATGTCCCGGGAAAGCACCGGCCAAACCGCGACGAATCGGCACCGAAAAAGGGCGCGGGAGTGAGCTCACCTGCGCCGCGAGGCTCTACGCGGGGGCGTGCCCCATCCTCCCGTCGCCGCGTTCCCGGAGTGGAGCGGAGAGGGGATGAGGAAGAAGAAGAGGAGGAGGAGGGAGAGGAGAAGGGAGGAGAGAGGAGAGGCGAGTCTTGTAGCGAGAGCGCAGGGCGGAGGGCACGATGTGTAAATTCGTGGGAGCTCGAGGGTGGAATCGAAAATGTTGGGTACGGGTCGTGGATCTGGGACGTTGATGGTGAAGCGGACGGCTAAGATCGTTGCTTTGGGTCGGGCGAGTCGCTGTTGCCGTGGTCAGCGAGGTCAACGACAGGGGTCGGTGAGAGCATCTTTTCACTGTGCGGTTCGTATCAGACGCGGACATCGAAGATAATAAATAAATGCCACTTTTTTTTGCATGGAATAAATAAATGTCACTGCTTGCGCAAACTACCGTGGTTCGATGAGATTTACTAGTAGCTTCATTTTTGAAGTGCAAGACGTAGTTTTTCTTTGTTGAATACAAAGACGTAGTTTGACGGTTTTAATTTATGTTTACCACGTGACATATGTGATAAGCAATTCAAATAATTAAAAAAATTCAATTTATGCTTTGAAACAACTCAAAAGAAAAGAAAATCATGCTTTGAATAAAGATGCAAGCTAATAACTTTGTCCGGCCACGGAAAATCATCAAAAATACCCTTTCAATTGCAATATAAAACATAAGTATAAGACAATTAGTACTTCCTTTCTTCCAAAATATAAAAGCATTTCTGACACTACACTAATTACTTTATTTGACTATGAAAATAAAGGGCCTCTCTCTCTCTCTTCTCTCTAAAGGCAAGGCGCGTGGTCATTTGGGCCAATTAGGAGAGTTTGAACACTTACGTGATTGGTTTGTCTTTGGTGTGCGTGAAACAATATGCAAACTCTTTTTCTGGTCCGGAAAAGTCCATTTTCCGTAACACGTACAAGTGTGTGCACCCCTATTTTTTAGCTGCTTTGGTTTGTAAGAATTTTATGTGAATTTTAAAGGATAGGAGTTTGATAAAAAAATTACTTTGACCATTTTGATTTATGGGAATAGATTCCTATTTTTATATAGGATAAGAATCAATCTTACACATTTAAAGGAAAAATTATTTGCTCAGACTCCATCTTTTTTTCTTATTCTATGAATCAAGCGAGGCCTAAAGATTCTAATGAAGTCGCCTGGGACATTTCATTATCATCTACTACATGGTATATAATTTTGTTCCGGCGAGAGGTAAGATAAAAGGTACATGCAAGTACAAGCGTATGGTTCAATCTCTTGTTAAAAGATCTACTAAGACCACCTCTAACACTGATCCTCAAATCGGACATCGTATCCATCCATGGATCGATGAAGATCAGTCCGCAAACAGTGATACAGAAGCCGGCCATCCAGCCATGTCTGCATACATTTCAAACCACATTTCAACAAATCGGACGGATTTTATCAAACACGACGGAATTGAAGCAAAGTTCAGACATAATTTACATAATACAGACGGTGTTTTGTCTATTTTACTAAACCAAGCCCGAACACTCAAAGTAGTTATAGAAAATAGCACAATTCATCCAGGCAAATATCTCCAGTACAACAGCAATTCAAATTCAATGAGATAACCGGATATTCAACAAGTTTTTTGAAATCATCTATTTCAAATTCAACGATACTAGAGTCAGAACCGGCACATGTCATCCCACACAAACTACCCCTTGAGCTTCATCCAACAATGTATGTGTGTGTATGGTCTGCCCTTGGTCCTGTAGTACGTCATGGCAGTGCGTGCATGCTATACAATGTGTATACAAAAGTGCTCCATGCACGACACAAATGCCCGATATGTGCACGACACATACATCCAGCGGCCGGCGCCCTTTACAATCAACGAATGTTCGGCCAGATTTAATCCATCGTGCATGCATCGTCTGACTTCGTCGTGTGCATAGCAAGACTCATGTGTATATCAACATTGAGTGAATGAATGAATTAATCAACATGTAGAGTAGCAGGAAGCAATACTTACGATCTTGATGGTTGACGAGCCAGTCTCCACTTGGTGAATTGCACTGTAAAACTTCATGACGGAGTTATAGATGGTGCACCATTTGTGTGTGCATGACAAGCATGTTGTAAGGTGGGAAGTTCTTTCGCTCACAAAACAAAGCATGCAAGCTTTGCCAAAAGATCGCGCCCTTGTTCATGCCTACAAAGTCCTCTGAAACGACCAACCACGCATTGCACAACAACTCATCCTCGTACACCGAGTACCCTGCCATCGTGCTTCTCTAGAAAACAACAAGAAGTTCAAGAAAAAGCTCAATGGCATGTGACCAAACACCTGCCAAGCACAGTGTTCGCCATGGACAACGGTGGTAGGGATGTGGTGGGTACCTAGCTGTGGAAGGATTCCTCGGTAGACAATGGTGTAATCCAAGGTCGGCACTCTCGTGGGTGGGGTCTGTGAAAGGCTGAGGACGCATAGGCGGCGGCCGGAGAGTACATCGCTGGCAACGGACAACGTGAGTGCCGATGAAAGGAAGGGGGCAGGGGTGGACTAGAAGAAAAGGGGGCCAGGAGAGGGATTTCAGTAGGCCTGGGTGTCGGAGTCCTACATGGCTGGCATACAGACTCCCGCAACCCCCCTCCCCCCGAGTTTGCCTCCAGTTTGCGAAAAAAATGATGGCCGGACTGGCCCGCGAACAAATACAGGGCCACACTGAATGGCAAAAGACGTCTGGGTTGTGTGGTATGGACGGATGCGAGCGTTTTGAGGGTCCGCGTTGAAGATGCCCTGACTCCATTTTAAAATATATGGACATCGTTGGACTATTTAAACTAATACATGTAAGATATATTTGTTGTGTTTCACTTTATGAATTGAACGTAACACAAGCATTAGTTGACTTGGTTTTGGTGCTAAGAGCTATACCTACATTATGATACCATAAAACTCGCTTTCCTACTAAATAGGGTGTCACATCATTTTTGAGGGAAGACCATCATAGCTAGCTTTATTGATTTAATATAGACATTACATCGTCCACAAGCAAAGAGACTAGACAACCCAGTGGCTCATCTCTCTAGTTTAAAGAGGTCTTATTACGATAGGAAAAGTTAGCTAGCACATGCGCCGCTTGATTGGAAGAACGAAAACAATGCTTAAAGACAACCTTCCCTATTAAAGAAGAAACATCCACACATTCCGTGAAAATTGCTACTGCAGTATCCCACCATCTAGATTGGCCATCACAAAAGTTTATGACGTTTAAGGAATCTGATTATGCCTCCACACAAGGAAACCCTAGGGAGTTTGCAAACAGTAGATCATCTCGCATCGCCGTTGCTTTAGCCATCATTGCATCTGCAACATAAGGTATATATTTGCATTGTGCTACTAAAAATTTCCCTTTTATCATCTCTAATTACAGCTGTTGAAGCTCCTGCACTTTCATCTGCAAAATAGGCCGCATCAACATTTACCTTTATGAACCTGAGGTTTGGTTTCATCCACTTCATCTCTATGTTAGCATTTTGTTTGCGATTAGCTTCATGATAATTACTAGCAATTGCCAGGATAGACATATGCCACCGCGTGGGATGTGGTGGTCTACCATCATGAGTGAGCTCATGTCTTATCCACCATAAGTACCAACTGCCCACCATAAGAGCTTGTTTGACAATAATATTCGGTTTCAGTGACAAGGGTAAATCTGGTGCAAGGAGTAGATGTTCCAATATAACTGACGCTGAGCGATCAATCAACTTTGCTTCCTCAGCCATTCCCGCAATGCCTAGGCGTTCCGAGAGGTGCTTGGCATGGCAGCAACCAAACAGTAGGTGGCAGACATCTTCCGTATCTTGATGACATATAGGACATGCGCCAATAGTTCCAATATGACGGTTCATGAGTATGGATTTTAGCGGAATAATACCATGTAGAGCACGCCAACAAAAAAATTGAATTTTACGTGGGACCTTTTGTTTCCATAGTGTACTCCACACTGCCGGTATTCTTGAGCCTCCAGGTCGTGCCATCACTGTTGCATGTGCCTAGAAAGATCGTATCCATTGTACTTTGTATGCTGATTTCACAGAGAAAACCCTTTGTGATCCAGGTGCCATGCGATAAAGTCCTCGAAAGCCCCATAGTTGAGGGGAATTTACAAGATCCTGTCTGCATCAACCGATATGAATATAGACCTGATCAGTTCCTCGTCCCAAAATCCAGTCATAGGGTCAATTAGATCATGAACTCGTGATATCAGAGTTTGCCCCCGGTTTGATAAAACTCTCATGTCTGGACTAGACTGTATCCAGGGGTTGCTCCTGATGTTGATGTTCTCACCGGAACCAACCCTCCATATATACCCCAACTTAAATGTTTCAAGACCTTTCATAATGCTCTGCCATGTAAATGAAGCACCACTCTTCAGGGTAGCTTGTAATAAACTTTCATTGGGGAAGTATTTAGCTTTCAATACTCTTGCACAAAGAGAATCCGGGTTAGTGATCAACTGCCAAACTTGCTTTGAGAGCATGACAAGATTAAAAGAATAGAGATCTTTGAACTCCAT